AACAGGTGGACGGGGGATTTGTTCGCAAAAAAAAGGGGAAAAAATGCTACCAATGTATGGCCAGCTTTTTCAGTCTTGTTCAACTCACAGTTGGCCTGACAAACCAAATCTCTAGTGATCCTCCGGATATGTCTTCAGTGAGATGCTAAATCTTTACTGCAATCTAAGGGTTCAATCTTTAGTTCAATACATTACAAAATGTCAGAAAATCCATGAGTACATAACATAAAAATAAATTCAATTAACTATTGTAGGTTAAACATATGGAACTAATAAATTTCGGTATGATAATGAACTGAAAGGTTCTGATAAAGACAAGGTAGAAACAAGCATTATTCAACAATCTTTTTCTAAAGGGATTTTTTCTGGATTTGTTTTTTTGGATGGGGATTTGGTGCTAAACACTATCAAGCATAGAAATAATATACACATTTTCCATTATTTTACAGCAGAAACATGACTTTATATAAAACTCTACAAGACAAGACAGTAACCATTTAGAGTACTTTTGCTAATGATATAACTAACTAGATGGGCAAAGTAGCAATGTGTGTTATTAACCTATGAACAATTGTCTTTTATACAGGGAAGCATCCAACACTCTGGGGCTTTGGTAGAAGACCCCAACACAGCACCTATCACATTACCGGATACAAGCTTGTCTATGGTTTTGGTTGGACTGTCTGAATATTTTTTTAATAATGTAGGAAAGTCTTACTTCATGTCTGATATTCTCAAACTGACACTTACCCAAAAGCAGGTAAGTACCAGAGAACATTATCAAAATCAGTATTTAAATAGCACTAAATAGCTAGTTTCAGAGCTGCATCTGCCTTCTATGCTTTTCCTTCTGGTTATATATTTAAAAAAATGTAAATAATGGTGTTAAATTTGGTAACTGGTTTGAAAAAGTGATTAATCTGTATCTCTGTAGAGCTAAAGCAGAACTACTTTTTTAAGCAGAACTACTTTTTTTTTAGTGCAAACACTCTTAAATTACAGATTAAAAACTGTACATGCATACTTTATATGCAAAACTGTTTTATCTCTTGCATTGTATTGCCTATATTTTATACTATCCATATACCATCTTGCCTAGTCTGGTCTTCAGCACAAACTGGAGAAGATGAAGGTGCTGCTACAAGTGATGCAGATAATCCACTTATAGGAAGTTCTCTCTAGAAAGTATGGTATTTTCATTCTTTGTCAGGAACCGGGTGTTTAAGAAAGAAAAACACAGAACGGGATTGGAAGGGGCCAAATAGTTCTGTGCAGTAATGGTCTCTGCCCTTTTGCAATTATAGGAGCATAATATAAGAGCTAAGTGGGTGGGGTGGAAAGCCTATGACCTCTGAGCTACGCAACCAGAAATGCTGAAACCAAGAATCTTAGAGGCCCTGCTAATATGTCTATACATCCTCTATGAACAAGCCATGAGACGTTAATTTTTGCATGCCAGCACAATTCATATCTTGCAATTTTAAAGTGTTTGCAAAAAAAAGAGAAATTTAATTCTGATTTCAGCAAATCAGCTCTGCAAATCAGAACTGTAAGGATCCTCTAAAACTACAGACTAGCCACTCTTTAGATTCACCCACTGCTTTTAGATCTTTCTCCAAAGTTCTAGAGCAGGAGGAAATTCCGGAGGGCTGGTGTGCAGAGCCTCTCAGCTCTGACCACAATTTGACCACTGCTAGCTATCACACCCAGGCTGCTACTCAGCCCTCCTTGCTAATAATTGTAGTCTAGCTCCCCCTAACTGACTAGGAAGGTGCTACACATATTAAAATTGACACATCATAAAAACATATATCATCAGCTGCAATTCTGGCATGAAGGGTATACAATTGAACACACATGAAATATAACAATTTTAAAGTGTTTGCAAGAAAAAAAGAGAAATTTAATTCTGATTTCAGCAAATTAGCTCTGTAAATCAGAACTGTAAAGATAACTTGCATTTTTCTAATTCACAATTTTTTTATTAACACAAAATTATTTTACTCCAATACTAAACCCATTCCTCTAAAGTTAAACCAGTCTTCTATCTAGAGCCACCACCCAACAGGCGCTAAGATAGCCAGGCAGATAGTATGGTGCAGTAAATGGGTTTTGCTGCTTTTTTCTATTTCAAATAGCCCAGAATTTTGTGATAACCCCCACTTGCAATAATTTACAGCTAGAGCTTTAAGCCACTGCCGTTCAACTAGACTGGTTCACCCATCCATTCATCCATTGCTATTGTAAACAAGTCTGTCCTCACTTTGTACACTGATGTATCTCTTTTTATTGCATTTTTTTCCTCCCACCTCAATCAACTGTATTGGTATTCTAAAAAAAAATTTACATTAATTGCCCAGAATTTGATTATCACATTAAATTTACATTTTGGCTGATGATGCTATCTTCTTATAATGACTGCTGAGAAGCATAGGCTATTTTAGGACCCACTAATAAACCAATACCTTTGCCTCTCCAAAAAGACATGGAGGTTGATTAGATGGAAAACTAGGGCAAGGACACAGCTTTATTGACCTTTCCATATGTAACATCTTTCCAAATGTACCGAATAACCAATGCCAGTCACAGTAATACTGTGATCACCCATAAGACAACCAATACAACCAAAACCCAATGAACTCATATAGTCTAAGAGGCTTGCCCTTACCATCAGAGCCAGACAGGTATTAGACTGACCCCAGAATTTAAGTTGAGAGCATAGTCCATAAGTACTGGTTCACATATATGCGGATTCCATACGTTTTGAACTGCATCCAATCCGAAAGACATGTGATGAAACATTGCTTCCTATGGTGCCTGTTCACATATGTCCAGAGCACTGGCAGCGCAGATTCAGTGAAGTTTGAAAAAGAGTTATCTCTGATTTCTGAGCAGTGTGGTCCAGTTCAGGTGCAGATTGCAGGCTATTGACTTCTATGGGAACCATTTCTAAACTGAAAATGTGTGAACAGGATAATCCTGAGAGCTAATCCTGTCCTGAACCTGATGTAAACCTGACATAAACCGAAGAACAACTACTGTTTCAGTTAGCTGTGAAACTTGAGCTTCAATCCGCACCGCATATGTGTGAATCAGCTCTAAAGCAATGTCAACTGCTGGCAAGGTCAAAACCGACAATAGAAATGTGACAAAACATCACAATGGGCAGGAGGTTGGTTAATGCTAGTGACAAAATCAAAAGTGGGTTATAGTGAGCGCTCTTATATAAACACAGCAGCTAGAACACCCAAGGCAACCACAATGCCTCTAAATGCAAAATAAAAATGGGTAGTATGGTGCACGCTTAGAACAAAAATAGAACCAAATATACAATAAAAACAGCGAGGTAACCGCAAATGACAGTCAATAATAGAATATCCGTAGGGCTCTCTCAAGTGATAAATAATCAGAGCTTGTCTGCCTCAAATGATAGAAGTGCGCATCACCAGAAACGCATGGGTTATGCGCATTTAGGAATATTTATCCTAGATGTTAGATCCAAGACCTGGTGGTAGGCATCCTGTTCATAGTGGGTCATCCAGAGCTCCAATCCAGGTCCAGTGATCCCTTCAAGATCAGCCAGGTGGTCCTCTATGGTGATAAAGGTCCCTCCTCTAGATGGTACAGGCACCTTCTCTGTGGGTAATAGCTCCACAAAGGAGCCCAAAAAAGGTGCCAAAGATAGTGTAGTATGTTCCCAAAAGAGTATTTATTGATACAGTAAAGACAGGGTAGTATGCATGTCACAGAAAATGAGTAGCAGTGAAAATAGCAATACTGACCCTAACAAAGATGGCCGCCGGGCCTCCTCGTGGCTCCGGCGGTGAGATGACGTCACGCTCTGCACAGCTCCTCCTTAGGCCTTTCGTGCTATAAAAACATCATCAGAGGGGAGGCTGTACAGCCTCCCCTCTGATGATGTGCTTATAGCACGAAAGGCCTAAGGAGGAGCTGTGCAGAGCGTGACGTCATCTCACCGCCGGAGCCACGAGGAGGCCCGGCGGCCATCTTTGTTAGGGTCAGTATTGCTATTTTCACTGCTACTCATTTTCTGTGACATGCATACTACCCTGTCTTTACTGTATCAATAAATACTCTTTTGGGAACATACTACACTATCTTTGGCACCTTTTTTGGGCTCCTTGTGGAGCTATTACCCCCACAGAGAAGGTGCCTGTACCATCTAGAGGAGGGACCTTTATCACCATAGAGGACCACCTGGCTGATCTTGAAGGGATCACTGGACCTGGATTGGAGCTCTGGATGACCCACTACTATGAACAGGATGCTACCACCAGGTCTTGGATCTAACATCTAGGATAAATATTCCTAAATGCGCATAACCCATGCGTTTCTGGTGAGTGCGCACTTCTATCATTTGAGGCAGACAAGCTCTGATTATTTATCACTTGAGAGAGCCCTACGGATATTCTATTATTGACTGTCATTTGCGGTTACCTCGCTGTTTTTATTGTATATTTAATGCTAGTGACAGTTGACTCTCTTCAGATCAGTGGGACTTATCCTAGCGTAACCCTTTTCTAGAGTTCAGGCTCCACCCTATCACTTCAGGTCAATACTAATAGAGCCACTTAACCCTCATGTGTTGGGTTAACATCCATGGTGACGCCATGCTTCCAGCAGTCAAGGCTCCCTCTCTCTAAAGGGGCTTCAAGGGGCCTTCATTAGCTCAGTGTCTGAACCTAAAAAAGTTAGGTCTGCTCTGAGTCACTTCAAAGGCTATGCCAGGGATTACTGCATCCCCATGTCCCTCTCTCATCATGCCTGATTGTTCATTATATTTTTTTTTATTTCATAGTTTCCACATTCTTACTGGCTGAGAACTGGTGACTACGGGTCCATTATTCCTAAGGTAGGTGAGTTTTGTCCTCTCTGTTTCTACACTAAACTTTCACTGCTGGCAATTTAATAATCAATGTAGCACCCTCCTAGTTACACTAGGTGGAGCTAGATCCCTAATGGTTAGATCAGGGGCGGACTTACCATTTGGAAACTCGGTCAGTAGGGGGCCCCATGAGATGCCCCTGGTACCTTTTTCATAGGCTTTTTTGAGTTTGGGCAAGGACACAGGGGCCCCATGATCCCCTATTGCCCCGGGGGCCCCATGAGTTGTCAGTCCGACCCTGGGTTAGACAGGAGCTAAACAGCAGCTCAGATGCAATAGCCAGAGGGGCGTGTCGAGCTGAGACTCTGCAGGCCAGCCCCTCTAAAATTTCCTCCTGCTCTGAGGCTTTCAGAGGAGGGCCTTGGAGGCAGTGGGTGGATCTGAGGAGTGGTTGGCTGCACCTTTGAGGGACCTCAGCCAATCCCCAACAGGAGGCTTGGTAAGGGGCTGGACTCCCTTAAAAGGTGTTAGAGTCTGCTCAGTAGCAGGGAGTTGGAGAGTCGGGTGGAAGAAGGAGAGAGGAAGATGTGAGGCTGGAGGAGGAAAGCTCCCAGGATGGCCTGCTCCCAGGCTACTCTCTTCAGCCTCACTGCATCTCCAAATTCCGCTCGAACTCTCCTCCTCTGCTGAGCAGGCTCAGTTACTGTTATAGGTTGTCCTGGCCCCTTGCCATGCCTCCTGTTGGGGATTGGTCAAGATCATCTAAAAGTACAGACTAGCCACTCTTCAAATGTACCCACTGCTTTTCAGACCTTTCTCCAACTTTCTAGAGCAGGAGGAAATTCCAGAGGGCTGGTTTGCAGAGCCTCTCAGCTCTGACCACAATTTGATCCCAGCTAGCTATCACACCCAGGCTGCTACTCAGCCCTCCTTGCTAACAACTGGAGCCTAGCTCCCCCTAGCTGACTAGGAAGGTGCTACACATATTAAAATTGACACATCATAAAAACGTATATCATCAGCTACAATTCTTGCATGAAGGTTATACAATTGAACAAACATGAAATAGAACAGGTGGATCAACCTGTTCTATTTCACGTTTGTTCAGTTGTATACCCTTCATGCCAGAATTGTTTTTATTGCTGTTTTCCCATTTTGAGTTCTGTTTGGAATCTCTTATATTTCATTTGACAATATGGGCGATAGTACCTAGTATTAATATGAAAAGGCGCCCCGCCTATTATGTAATCTGTACCTTAACACTAACACTCTCTATAATCCTAACACGTAGCTTCCCTGTTACACACTTTTAACACCCCTTCCCCTACCCCCCATAATCCTCTGTGTAACCATTAAACTAACAATCCTTAAAACTCTAGCACAAACCCTCCCCATTACCTACACACTAACCCACCTTGTAACCTTAAAGTAGTACCACAAACATGAAATATAAACAAAGCATATCCTTTTATAGTGTGTACTTGTCTTAATTAAGAGCACTAAGTGTCATTTCTCTCTGCTGCTTTGCTCCACTGCTATCAGTATGAAGGCAGGTGCAGTCTGTATTCTCCAGTGCAGGTGGCGCTCAGCTGCAGCAGCAATGCAGATGGGGGAGGAAGTTGAGAGGAACATAGTTCCTCTGTGATTTCCTCAGTCACAAGGGGGCAACTATCCAGTTGGAAGCTGGTGCCACATGTGACATTGGTGGCCATATTGGGTAAGGGCAGAGCCTATTTAAGGCCCTGGCTTCCTGCTTTGGTGCACATTGAGCGAGTGGTTAGTGTAGAGACAGTGCATACTGGCAGGGAGAGGTTCCAGAGGACTAGGGAAAGTGCAGGGACTATGCCGGCGCCTTTCAGGAAGCCTCCTGTTTGGGTGTGGACCAGGAAGGATGCATTCAGCTCCTTGTGGCAGATGTTGTCAGCATCTTCAAGTTGTCAGACTGCTGTTTCACTGCTATTACAGTTTGTAAGTGTCTCTGGATTGGCATGCCTTCCCGCTGGGCCTGTTTGGCTGTGCTAAAATTTTCTACAATGCTGTATATATTACTTTGTTCTTGCTTGGACTGCGTGTGTTTACTCCCCGCCACTCAACACTACACATTCCTGCAAGCATGAATCACTTCTGACACGTTTTCATGACACCAAGAGAAAAATGGTGACAGGGGAGGGACCTCCAGCAGGTTGACAGCCTCAGCTCTGTTCCTGTAAGCTGTGTGTACGGGGGTGTGTCTCTTCCCTCAGAATCAGCTCTCAGAGCTCTTCTCACTGAGCTCTACAGTGTGTAATTTCAGCTCTCCATACCCTTTTTCTGAAATCTCAGACAAGCTTTATAAATTCAGCACTTTGAACACCTGTAGAAAAGAGAAGACTGCAGACAAGTACAACTTGTATAGGAGGATTTGTTTCATCTCTGTAAATCACCTGAGGCCAATCACTTTACTGAGTATATGTAAGGGTTTACAACCACGTTAACACCAACAATCCCTCTATCCTTAACACTTTCACAATGTTATTTTTCAGTATAAAGTTTTTTGCTTCTGGAATAGGTGCTCTACCCTAATCCCTCCCACACTATCCCTACTTGTAACCCTTTTATTATCCCTCCCTGCAATCCTAACACTAATCCTTCCTTTAACCCTAACACTAACTCCTCTGTAACCTGAACAGTAACCATCCCTGCACCTATCAAGCTTCCCTGTTACCATAACACTAACTATTCCTATAAACCCAATACTAACCCTTCCTTCAACTCCAATGTTAGCCCTTTATTGTAGCCCTCACATGAACAGTCCCTGTAACTGTAACACTGACCCTCCATGTATCCTGTAAACTAGCCCTAACAGTAACCCTTTGTCAGGAAATCCCTGCCCATAGTGAAGATGGAGCTCTGAGGTGCATACAGATGGTGCAAGCCTATGAGTGCCCAAACAATTGTCCGCAGGCGTGTGTATATGTGCGTGCAAGGGCTCATGAAGTTGCCCAGGCACCTGCATCTGCTGCTAGTACTGGCACCAAATAGACTATTTTAGTTGAGCTGTTGCACTGGCCAGTTGCTGTCTGATCTACAGCATTCTTGTGTATCCTGTGCCACTTCCTGTGCTTGATTCCAATTACTGACCCTGCTTTCCTTGGCCACTCTTGAACGGCAACTGCCTTGTCTACCTACTCCACTGCTACCGACCTCGGCCTGTGTCCTGACCATTCTTCTGCCTACCGTTTATGCATGATCTGATCATCTGTTACCGAACTGGTTTGTCTGACCTTGCATCCTGCCTTTACCTGCCTTTACCTTTACCTGCCTATACAGTGCCTCCTGACCGGAACCAGGGGCGGACTGACAACTCATGGGGCCCCCGGGCAATAGGGGATCATGGGGCCCGTGTCCTTGGCCAAACTTAAAAAAGCCTATGAAAAAGGTACCAGGGGCATCTCATGGGGCCCCCTACTGATCCCAGGCCCTCGGGCAGTGTCCGAGTTTCCAAATGGTCAGTCCGCCCCTGACCGGAACACTACTTACCTAGTTCTTGCAACCTTCTGTGCACTAGCAACCATTTCTCTGCCAGCCAAGTACCTGGCAGTCTGCTGTTTGTCAGTTCAGGGTTCTACTGCATCTGTTTGCTTCCCACTGCCTCTGCCATCTGGTCCATTCCTGGCAAAGCACCGGCTACCTACTTCTCAATTTGCTGTACATCTCACAGGCACTCATACCTCACATCCTCTAGCAGCCACTGTCTCACTACCAGTGGTCCCTGAGCCGGAGCTGTAAGAGAGGCCTCACTTTTCACGTCAGACTCTACAATCAGGTACATGACACCCTTCTTGTAAACCTAACATTTCCCATCCCTATAACCTTTACATTAATAGTCCCTGGAACACTAACCCTCCATGCAACTTCAAAGCTAGCACTTTCCCTACTTAATGTAAACATAACCCCTTGTTTGAATACTCCACTCTTCTAGGCCAGGAGCCTCTGGACTGACAACTAGTCTTTCTGCACTGAAAAATACCAATGTCTGGATGCTGGTGCCATTGGATTCTGATACGCTTTTATTTTCATGAACAATATCTATACTTTTTTTAACAGATTGGAGACTACTACCCTGTCTCAGAGGCTATGATGATTACCGTAAGAGCCACAAAGCCTCCAGTCATACACCTGACAACCCAGCTGGCTATGGTAATGGAAGGACATATAGAAGGCTTGGTTATCCTCCCCTCTTTCATCACAAAGCAAATCTATTCTGCCAATGTGGTAAGTCCACACTCTTACAAAAAATCACGCCGGGTTGACAGAAGCTGGCCATTCAGCTGGCATCTGCCGGACAGGCAGGTGTACACATGGGATAAATGTCAGTCGTTTCTATTGAACTGGCCAATACTGGCCGATATGGGGACCTCTGCAATCCTCAGCTCCAGCTCGCAGGTTCTCATTTGTCCAGGGTTCGATCCAACCACATACAATTCAGCAAAGATCTGGAGCTTCACATGTCTACCAAAGAGTAAAATCAACTCCACCCAGGAGTCTCCCACTAACATGTGTGCCCCCCTACTATGGTTTAATCATAGAGCCATGATTAGTCCTTAGTTGGGGGCGAAACATGTTAGAACCCTGGGAGGACTGTCTGTGCTTGTGCTAAACAGTAAATTTAATTTTACCTTTTGAAAGTGGTATGCAGCTCCAGATCTTTGTTGAAGTTCTCTCTATTGCTCGGCCATCAATAAATTTGCCTTATCAATGTTGATGTGAGTATATATTTAATAAATGCCTGTTGATCCTGCCAGTTTCCATTATCTTTGAGACCTTCTTTGAAGTATAACTAAAGGCAAAACTCTTTTTTTATTTTTGGATAAAGTGATGAAGGCTTAGAATGATGTTTAGGTCTTTACCATTGTCTGTGTCACTGTTAGGAAGATTCACTCAGTGATGTTGGTGATCTCTACTTGTCCTGATCAACAACATCACTGGGAATGAAAGCGAGGGCAAATCCAAACTTTTGCGTTGTCACCTGAACAGAAATAGAAGGGAAATCCTGTAATGGGGACATCTTTTTCCAGTGACAACTGTCTAAGAGGGGAGATCCCTCATATCAGAAAGATTTCCTCTCACTTCCTGTTGGGTCTACAGGATGGGAAGTGAAGGGAAGTCTCCTTAATAAGACACAGATGGCATTAACTAAACCAATAATGTGGTTTTAACTCACCGGTGCTCTATCCCAGATTAAAAAAATATACTTTAATAGAATGAGCACTTGCTCCTGTGTACACTACAGGCATCTGTG